TATAAGGAAGGAAAGTTCATCATCGAAATGGCCCATATGATCAAAGACAATGGATGGGAATAACTAAATGATAAAATAAGACCATTCTACAGCAGACTGAAAAATTTTATAAACCCCGTGAACAGACCTTGGATTTTGTACAGAGATTATGTTTTATTCATAAAGTTATATGTAAAAGAGCTTTTATACTTAAACAAAACCATACAGACATTCTGGTGTACGAACAGAACAACTTAGAACTCTTTCGTAAAGAAATCGTGGTCGTTTTCTTTGTAAATAGAAGAAATTTCTAATCTCGGGGTTGGTATTGCGCTGGGAGATATCTCGTGAAAGTCATGAGCCTACTCTAAGCTTGTAATGAGAAAGCTTGTACAGTTAAATTCGCTAATATACTTGAAATCTTGTAAATATGAAAATCTTATCCTAGGATATGTTTTATTTGACTTGTGTGCCGAGGAAGACAAAATTAAAATTGTTTTGTGTTGGTACAAATTTATGTACATTGACTCATTCAGCTTCGAAAGCTGTGTAATATTCATACGGACGAGGAAATTATACAGCGATTGATTTCTTATCTGTAAACAAACCAAATCGGTCAAATTTGAGGGAGGGTTTCATTTTTATCGCCCTCCTCTCGTTTTGATTGCGTATTCACGAACTTTATCCCTTTCCTTTAGATGCGGTAGGGCTTTTTATGATGGTAACTTCAGATTGAAAGCAGAGTGTTTAAGGCTTAGCATTTGCATAATGTTGATATTTAAAGTTATCGTTTTCTAGAAGAAACGAAATTGAAACCGTGTCATTTATCTAAGGGAATGCGATGTACATGTATTAAGGTAGTTGAGAGCGGAGGCGGAATGTTCCCATTTTTTTCAGAAAAAATCGGTCGCTGTTCATGGCAAATTAACGAATCTTTCGAAGGAAAAGTGGTTTGGATCGAATTGCCAGCGAATTTATTTTAGTATTGAATGTAGACATGTACTCTCGAAAGGAAAATTATTTCCCTTAGATGCCGATTTTCCATTTTGTTTTCGGTTTGAACCCTGATTGCTGCCGAGATGCCGACAAAATTTACCCAACAGGGGAGGGAACGGAACTGAAAAACGGCAGAAAACAACCTTCATTAATTTAAAAAAATTCAAGAGGATTAATCCCGCTTTTGTTAAAAGACTAACAATAAAATGGTATTTAAAGTTTCATTTCAACAAGCAGGCATGCTGAGCGAACTCATTTTTCAAAACAGTCTATGAAATATTTATTTAGGGGTTCAACGAGTACGTGATGTAAACAGAAAACGCTTAGCAATGCAAAACATTTTAAGATCCTGCTTCCGGAAACTCCATAAACCCCTTCAGTCTCTTCAGAGTGAGAAAGAAAGTGAGGCGACCCAATATTTTTTTGAACACGTTCATAGGAATTGTTTTCCGGACGAACAGGAAACCGCAACAGTTGCTCAATATGATAGTGAAAAAAGGATGAAAGAAACAGAATTACGAAAAAAAATAAACAGTCGTTAGTCTATCAAGGATTTATTTCGCCTTTTTCTCTGGTTAAAAGTAAGCATAGTAAATGAAATAAAGTAGCGTCAAATTAATTTTAGGCTGATTAAAAGGTTGATGAAATCGGTTTTATACCTCAGGCTTGAACAGGTGGTTTCCCTAAAAAAAAAAAGCAACTTCCGCTGTCGGGTAACAAGTGCGCTGATGTCAGCTAGTGGGCTATGACTTCCGGTCGGTGGTATATTTTTCTTTTTCCTAAGGTGGTATATTTTTCTTTGTTTCAAGCCGTAAGAGTTTGTTTGACTTCCCGAATAGAATGGACTTCATTTCTGACTTTCGATAGGATTTGTAGCTCTGGCTAAAACACCCCAAAGATATCATTTAAATAGTATAACCATAGTAGTGCGTGAGATCTCCGCTGAAAGCCAATACTATGCAAATGCAAGGAAACTGTACATTTGACTATGTATGGAAATCGATGCGTTTCAACACCTTTTCCCTCAGGATATTATATTCGACTCGGCAAAAAGTTGCCGGAAAACTTTTGTCCGGAACTTATCCTTCCATTACGGTTCACTGCCTGTCTTGAATGGAATTGATCTTGAGGTCAAGACAAAAATCACTTAGATAGTGGACCTACTCACGTACTTTGCAGTCCCTTCACCCGTAAAAACGAAACATCAGTGCGACCCTCCCCTCCCTACTTCATCTTTGCGATGAAAAACCCATGAAGCTGTCACAGCCTTATTAGTTCAAATAATTGATGGAAAGATTCGTTCTTTTTTCCCCCTCCTTTTTCAAACTATCTTATGGTCATCATTTGAGATTGAATTCAAATTTCTTTAGACGACATAGACAGAGAAAACGCTTTTTTGTTTAAAATTGTGACACACCTCAGTAACTGACCTTGATATAGCAAATCTTAATATTTTCTACAGTTACGTTTTCACTTTAGTTGCATAGATATATCTTTTTTAAGATAATATTTTGTCTAGATATAGACTTGCGTTGAGTATGATGAAACTGTTTTGAACATCAAAGAAAAAACAATTAATAATATTGACAGTAACTATAAATAATTGTCCTCAACCGTACTTTTTTAGTGGCTTAACAGACTAAATGAGCGGCTCACAATACATTATGTGATTTTTCACATATTTTAGATTTCAAACTTAAAAAAAAGAACAACATAGGCTTCAGCAACACCACATCTTAACAAGTTGTAATTTGGTTTTATTTCATAAGCAACAAACTTGTGGTCCCTTTCCCCTCTTATGATCTTCAGAATTCTTTTAAAAATGGTTTAATGACAATCTTTTGATTTTAAAAGGTGTTATTTTACAGACGCTATGGTCGTCAGACCATCCCTTCTCACATCCCTTGGGGGCCAATTTGTAACCTTTACTCTACTCAACATAAAAGTTTCTAAGATAGCAATTTTTGAAATGAAAGATAAAAAAAAAAAAAAAAGAGAGAGAGAAAAAAAACCGGCACAGAATATTCACTTATCCATTTCCCCACGAAATAACACAATATTACCGATTACCATTATCTTAAAGTTGCCACCAAGCTACGATCTATTTATAATTATTAAAAACTGGATCATTAGATAATGCAATTGAAGACTTTTATTGGCTTAGCCATTATGGTATATGAGCCAATATACCATAATCTACAAATATGGTAAGCGTAAGCGTCAGCTTAAAATTAAAAGGAAGCTAAAAATTTAATAAAATTTAATAATTTAATTTAACGTTTTAAATAAAACAATTATTCCACGAGCGCTTGTTGGATATGAGATGATTATAGCCAACTAGGCGCTACGCGCCTCGTTGGCTATAATCATCTCATATCCAACAAGCGCTCGTGGAATAATTGTCAAATATAACGCCTTAGCCCCCTCGAAAGTTTGGGGTGCTAATTGAAGAACTAGATTATCGCGATATATTGCAACTCTGAACTGAACTGGAGATATATAAGGTCCTATTTATTATATTTATTGTAAGGTCCTATTTATTATCCTGTAATCATTCCCTCTTCCCCACCTCTCTGCGTCTTTCTTACAACTTTCTTGTGATGAAAGAAAACAAAAGAAAAAAAAAGGAAGATAAAAGTTAATTCGATTATAGTACTTACTGAAACGCGGACGGCTGTGGGGGATTTTCTGAAAAGTTTCTACGGTTACCCAACAGCTTTGTCAACCAACTAATAGGTTTAAGACAAAACTCATGTTCTAGCTATCTTCCACTTAAATTTGATTTCGATCGAAGTCAACCAACTGATTAAGCCGGTTGGAATATTATGCAGTAAGTGGATTGAATTCATAAAATAGTTAAAAAAACGTGACTTTGTGTATTGCGTTGTGATCATTCTTCCTTCGAATGCACAGCATAATAAATTTTCATTCTTTGGAAATGAAGTCATCTATATATTTTGGAAATGATCAATATATACGATCACGTTTTTCCTCTAACGATACAAAGAAGCCGATAGATATGCAAGGAATCGATATCTTGAGTGGCAGTTCGCGATGAAAAATAAGCTCTAGATCTAATAGGGTCAGCCTTTAACAACTTCTGCTTTACTGTTTCGTTTACCTAACAATCGCCAATTTTTTTGCTCGCCACCATTGAAAAAGAACGGACTAACAACAGTCAATAAAATTTGAAGACAGTCAACCGCAAAGTGATAATCTAATGTGCAAGTAAGCGTTGTTGTAAGACTTAAAAACCAATAAGAGGAAATTTTATTACTGTACCACTTGTCTCCTCAAAACTACCACATTATTTCATCGTACTTTCAACATTTTTTTTCTGAAAATACCAAGCAGCGAGAAAATCACGAGGGAGTTTTATCAAGTATAGCTGATTTTATTTCAACGCTTTCCGGGAACAAATTTATGCGGCTTGAGAAGACTTAGAATTCCAACCAAAAGCTAATCTTTGCGATTTTCTGTTAAAGCGACAGAAAGTCAAGCATATGTTCAAATTTTCCATCTTGGCCATGAATCGTACTGGACGGGAGCTATTGCTGTAGATGATTCGTAGATTGATATTTCGAGTAAGTTCAAATAAGGTCAGGCACTCAAATCGCCTGTAAAGTTTCCATTTTCTAATTTTTTTTGCGATATTTCGTTGTGCAAAAATTTCTTTTTATGTAACTCTACCAGTGGATCAATGGCAATCCGCCTGCAACTTAAAAAAAGTTAAAACGCACAAAATGTTATCGTTTAATACAAGGTAGATCCTACTGAAGATAAGATTGATACAGAACGGAATAGGGAACTTTTCGTTACTGAATCGCCTCATACATCGCAACATTATAGTGCAAACTCTCCCGACAAAGTTTCGTGACGAGACTAATTAAAAACGGCTGCGAGGGAGACTAGTTGGTGTCCGAGGATGAGGTAGTCTCCTTTGCAGCCGCTCGGGCAGGAGTCACGCAGTTGCGTGACTCCGGCCCGAGCAGCTGCGAAGGAGACAAAGGATGAGGCGGGTTGATCCTCCAACACCACATTACAATTACACAACTATTTACTATGCAGTTATGTCAGCGGTCTTCACTTTAAAAGAAAAACAAACTACTACCATGAAAATATTGAATCTACGAAATATCTATTAAGGATGTGGAAAGCAGCTGAAATCATTTATTGGAATGTTTGACATACTTGAAGGTAAGAGGAGTCTACGATAAACATCCATGTAGCTACTGCGAATTCATGTACCTTACTTCCGGTTTTCGCTAGAAAGGAACTTTGTTATAAATAACAGATTCATTTGCAATTTAGAACAAAGGCCGGCTGGTGTGTTGCACAAAGACATGGATGAAGGGTTTTTAAGCTATCGTTATCAGGTAAGTTCAGCAATTAGCTGACAAATATTTATCGAACGTGTAGCGAATTAAATTAAGCCAGGTAAAAGCATATGGTGAATTAGATGTTTTGCACTTCCTTCTACCAATTTTAACCGACATGGGGGAATTGGAACTCGGTGGAGGTAGACTTAAGAAAGAGTTGGTAGGTTTTGCTACGGTAATAGAACAAGAGAAGGCACTAGAGTCCGTTTAGAGTGATTTTAACCTGTACAAAACTGTTTCAAGTGTCAAGTTGGAACGTTGCTTGTGGAAACTGCTGTGAGAGAAACATTCATGTTTTGACACATCATAAGCTTATAAAACAGGCTTAATTAAAGCTTGTAATTTGGATATATCAACAAAGTTGAAATGGTAAATTGGCCACCGTAATGATTACAAAAGCTGACGTTTCGAGCGTTAGCCCTTCGTCGGAGCGAATAGAGGAATTGTGGGTTGTGTGTGCTTTTAAAGGCAGAAAATGGAGCTACGTTATTGGTGGGTGCATGGCAACGAGAAAAACATGAATAAATTAGTGGAATGAAAAGCGTTCATTGATCCCTGTGGGATTCCGCTTTTCATTCCACTAATTTATTCATGTTTTTCTCGTTGCCATGCACCCACCAATAACGTAGCTCCATTTTCTGCCTTTAAAAGCACACACAACCCACAATTCCTCTATTCGCTCCGACGAAGGGCTAACGCTCGAAACGTCAGCTTTTGTAATCATTACGGTGGCCAATTTACCATTTCAACTTTGTTGATATATCCAAATTATTTCGTTACTCCCACCGACGCAGCCCCAAACAGTTTCTTTCGAAACTATCAGCCTTTATTAATTAAAGGTTGACTCTGAACATGAGAATGTGCCCCACTGCAGAAACCGCGGATGAAGTAAAAGCTTTTACACTTTGGTTAAATCTTATAAATATAGATAATAATTATCATTTGTCAATTGGCGTTTACAGTGGATTGTTCAGATGTGTCTTTTCAGAAAGGCATGACATGACAAGATTTCTACAGAGTGGATGAGAATGTGCCCCACTGCAGAAACAATGCGTGTTGTGAACGTTTTACACTTGCTGATGTCGGATTACATGCACGCATATATATCTAATCATTATTATATGTCAATTGAAGGTTGCAGTTAATTTCTATGAAAACTGTCTTAACTTCCACGAAAACCGAATGAGAATGTGCCCCTACTGCGGAATTAATGCATGTATTAAAAGTTTCCACACTTTGGTTTATACTTGTTGACGTAGGCATATATTTATATGCAAAACAACTTTTAATCATGATGGAGTTAAATTTCAGTCGATGGTTATGGTGAATTCTTTAGATGTGCCTTTTTTTAGAAAGTCATGACATGACATGAGTGTCTCATTTTATGCAAAAAGATTTACTTTTTTAGCAGTTTGATATGTGCTGTGTTTCATGTATTAGAAACAAACAAATTCCTCTGTTTGCTGTATTAATAAAGTTATTTACATAAAAAGTGGCCTTTCTTGAGCACAAAGAGCAATCAATTCTGTATTTAAATAATTATAAGTAATTGTGATAATTAACTTTGAGGGTAGCAAGGGGAGGTGGGGGTCCTGATTCAATTTTGAGCAGAAATTTTTAGAAAAATTTATGGTTGACCTGTTCTGCCAACAGTATATCACAGGACAAAAATTCAAAAGAGAATTTTTCTAATCTCACCTTGCCTTGCCTTTCTGTAAAATTCACACTTCATATGCGAGGCTCTGCTCTAAAGAACATTGAATGGAGCCCAGAAACTGTGAAAAACTAAAATCAGCAAGTCACCCAAGAGCAAGTAAGGCACCAGGGGCCACCAGGCACTGCCAGATTGACCACAGCCTTGATATATTAATTTTGAACTTAATCAGGAGCCACTCATAAACCCTATGCCACCCTCTAACACGATTAATGATTACCAAACAGCAAACTCTTTCATAGGATGCAGCAATATATCTCCAGGAGGGAAAGAACAATGACCGCTTTGCCACCCATCCCACCCCTCAAACAATGCGATGGTACCTTCTAGCACATTCCAGGTATTACTATGTTTTGGAGCTGATGGCTGCATTGTTTCTTCTTGCCTTGGGACTAACTGAAAAACCACCAGCAGGAGCATCGACAGACGTCAATCGTTTGACTCTTCCAGTTTATGTAAGTGTATACTTAGTGCATAGGCTGAGGTGTCAGGGGAGAATTTGAAAAACAGAGCAGGGGTGGGGTGGGGCAAGGGAGGGAAAGGGGGTCAAGTAAAGTCCTACAGCATATGACTTTAAAAAGTAGGAATAAAGGGAAAAAGTTTCAAAGGAAACTGTGTCCCAGCATTGGTGGGGGATTAGACAAGATTAAATTTAGTTTTATCAAATGAGTTAATAATGTGGATTGACCACTGTAAAGAGCTTCTAAAGCTAACATTTCAAGCGTTAGCCCTTCATCAGAGCAAAAGTATGAT